CCGGCGTCTCCCTGTCCCCGCTGCCCCGGTCCGTCCCCGCTCCCCCGGCGTTCCTCGGCAGGCAACGCCTCGTCCCGCCCGGCAGCGCTCTAGAGGGAGCCGCGGCCGGCGCTGCCCCCAAAGCCATCAGAACCTCCCTGGGTGGCCTTCGCAGCCGGAGGGGTGGCACAGGACGGGGCTGCTGGGACCCACTGGGCACCGGAACACCGGACCGGGATTTTTAATTAAATGGTGACAGTAGGGATACGTGGAGGAATTTCAGGAACTATCGCGGACACGGGGCCGAGCTGCTTGCTCTTGCCAGCGTTATTTTAATCCTACTGTGCTTTCGGTTAGGCGTACTATCCAACCATTGCATTCGACAAATACGAGATGTTTATTTAATTAATTTATTCTTCATACTTCCCCTGCCGCCCCAGATAACCTGTTCCATATGTTTATTGCCACTTGTACAGCGCAGTTCCGCACGGATTTTTCTGGTTTCTCCACCTTTCTTCGGTTTAAGACTATGCCCCTTCCTCTGTGAAACGGGAACGAGCTGAAACTCACCCTGTTCTCCCTCCTGCTGCCTTGACTTCTGTTAGAGGGCTGTCTTTTATTCAGACATCATCCTCAGGATTCGAGTCGCCAACGAGTTAGCGAGCCCCGAATGAGCAATGGCCGCACGGGTGGCCCTAAGATCCCCTCCGGCCTCTGCCCACCCGGGCGGGGGCAACGGCAGCACTGAGGCCCCCGAGATGCTGCGCGGCCCTGGGACTCTGTTTCCCCCCTCCACACCTCTCGGGCAGAAGCATCCACCTGCTCCGGGGAGAGGTTATGGCCCCCCCCAAAAACCCCAAACAACAAACAAACGAACAACAACAAAACACCAACAAAACCCAAACCAAATAAAAACAAAAACACCCCGACAGAACAAAATCTCGCCCAGTTTCCTTACACGTCTCTTTGGCGGCCAATTTTTGTCCGTCTTCTCTACTTAGATCACAAGGTATTCTCACCCCAAGGTACTGATTTTTAACGGCTGAGGCAAAAGAGGCCTTCGGAGCTATTGTCAGAAATAAGGAGGAGAATAATTATGAGTAAAGTGAAAAGAATTTGGGCCACATTCAAGCGAGCAGACAAATCCACATCGGATTGTTTAAACAACTTCACCTCCGAGAATCGTACACTCATAAGTAGTACACGTAAAACAAATTCCCAAATCCCCCAAAGTACACACACCTTGAATTTTCTTTTATTTAAAATAAAATAAAACTCATTAATATTTGTAAACATTTATCTCCACTCTCCTAATCTCTGAGCACATTAGGTTCAGTGCAGTAAAGCATCATTAAGTGATTATTTGATAATTTAATTAATTTGATAATTTAAGATTTAATAATTTTAGATACGTTGTGAAATATCTGCCCCAAAACTGCTTATGGGAGC